AAGAGTCACAGCTAAGCTCACAGAAGCTTTTAAAAAATCTGTGGCATCATTTTGAAGTATCTATCAGAGACTGCTCAACACTTCCCACTGACAGCATTAACCTTCCTGTGAGATTAGCATATATTCACATCAGTTGCTTTGAAGGAGTCAAGAATCGTTATTAATGCAATTTTCATGAGTGTTTAATTTCATATTTAAAATTATCACTGTGGCAGGTTTGATGCTTGTTAGGGAATTTGTTGAAATTTCTAAAGGGAGTTCCATAAAGAGTTTCACAGAGGACCTATTTTGAAGCGTAGCAGATTAGAATACTGCCAGTCCAACGAATCAGACCAATAGATTCAAAAAGATACCCATCTATCGTGGTGAAAATAGGACTTTTGAAGTACAGATACAGAAAGAAATAAGCAGGACGGCAGATGAAAGTCCCAGCCTGCTCCTGGTCCAGCCTGTTTCCCATGCTGCCATGGGAAGTGCTGGCTTTCATCTTTCCTGTGTCAGGATGATGTCCGTGCTCATATCAGCCCCCTGTAGGCACTCTTCATGTGTAATTTGCCTTTGTACAAGGAATGCATATAGCTCTCTTTCCTTTTCAAACTTGCTTATCCCCCATTGCAGTTCTGTTATGCCGCCTTTCCCCCCAAAAAACACCTCACCCCAAACAACAACAAAAAACACCACAAGTTTTAACTGCTTCACCATCTGTCAGATCCAGAGGGTATGACCAGCTCACTGAAACAGTCGCTGAATTCCTCCCCCTCTGTTTTCAGCTTCATTTGCAAACCTCAGATAAAGCAATTCTGTCTGGTGTTCTGCTCAGTGGCACTGCAATGTCAGAGCTGACAGCAAAGCCAGCTTTTAACCTGCCACTTGAAACATATGGCTCCCACTTCTTGAGACTTTAATTTGAAGGTTAGATTTTACTTTGATGAGGTGAGAGCTTATAAAGCAGTGAACTCATGCTGGGTCAGCCATTGCTTTTCTAGGAATGCAGAATAGCATGAAGTCATGCATAAGCCTAAAAGCTTTCCCTATTTATTTACTTTATATTCATTTTTATTATTGGTTGGTGGTTTTTGCTTGTTTGTTTTTGGTTGTTTTAATAAAACAGATGTTTTGCACATGCTTCTCTTCCCCCTGCATGTGTCTTTCCCATGAACTATGATCTTCTATGGATTACTGTGGTTATGATCTGATCCCAAGAGGAGGGCTTGCTGGGGAGGACCTATTCTCCAGCCACATGCAGTGCTCAGAAAAGTTTCTCCTTGGCAGGCAGACAAGCCATTCTGTGTTGACAGATATTTGTTTGAAAATACAGTGTATCAAGAGCAGTTGTTCCTCTCTTGTCTTGTGGATAGCCTTGTGCCAACACTTTGATTTTTGATGTTGCCAGGTGTTACAACCAAGTAGTTACAAGTTTTATAGGGTACAATTGAATTTATAGGACTGTAACCTGATGTCATCATTTCATGTGTGTGGATGTAAAAATCCCCAAATTGTACAACAATAGAAGTCTCTATTTTGTACTGCCCCTTACTTTCAGCACATGCAAGCCAAGCTTTTTAAAGCAGTGCCACATCTCAACCCTAGATGCCTGCAGGGAGGCTGGTGCAAGTAGCTGCAGACCCAGGAAGAGCCTGCTGGGATCTAGAGGCACACTCCTGCACATCTTGCTGCCGACTCTACCAGGGACTTTCAGGCAAAGCTTGCTGGGTCTTTCTTTTGACAGCTAAAGGCAGAAAGGAACTGTTCTCCTGCCAAAAATCCAATCCTGCTGTAACGCATGGAAAAGCTGGAGACTGTAAAAATAGACAGAAAATGTAACTTCAAAAAACACGTGTTTCTTACAATTGCGTTTTCAATGGATCTGAAGTAGATTTGCTGAGATTTATATATTTATAAATATATATATTTAGAATGAAAGAGAGGGCAGTTATGCAAAATGAGAGCTCAGATGGTGACTTTGGTGAAGTTACATGAAATTAAAAAAGCCTGTGATATGAAGTCCTCTGCAGCCTCAGCTGTACTACATCCAACTCTGCCTATTGGGTAAGGAATGTGTCACCACACCATTTTGTCAGCTTTTTGCACCATCATCCACAGTCTCTTCCAGTGCTAATACTGTAACTTTTCTACTTGCTAAGTAAATTATCTATAACATTTGACCAGTAGGATTAATTGCATGGTTCCTTCCTAATAAATTCAGTAGGTTCCTTACTAACAAAATCATTGTACTTTAATTTTGAATGGATTTTACAGAGGTTGTCAATTGTGCTGCCCTAGTTTACAGATTCAGAAACCAAGGTAAAAGATAAATAATTGGCTTTAAAGTCACCCTGCACATCAAGAGAGTAAGAAGTTACAGTCCCACGTAAAGGAGTCCAATGGAGGAGAGCTTTTGTATATGAAGGGTGACTTTTGTTCAAAAAGTTTTGGTGTTGGTTCTTTATATATGAAAGAAAACACAAAGCAGGAATTGGAAGGATTACAAATCTGTGATTTGGGTCTCCCATTTCCCGTGTGAGGCCATTCAGCATTCACCTATAAAATAACAGACCCAAATCTTGCTGTGCGTCTTGGCCAGACTGAAACGGCCAGGAGATTTAGGCATCAATCCACCTGCTTTCAAGTGCCAATAAACACTGAGATGGGAAGTAACTCCCAGTTACTCAAGCCTGGGGGAGGTCTGGGCACACGCACAAAGCTCTCAGTAGCTTTTTGGAAGGCATCTTCAGATGTGTGCCATGTATTAACCACATATAAGCAGGACAATCCTGTAATTATTCCTCCTCTGTGCTGAAATGTACAAAGCTGAATTTGTTAAAGCTGGATAGGTCCTTTGATCTAGTTCACAACACAGCCTTGCAAACAATTCTGCAAACAGACCTTGCAGGACAGAATGAGCCAGTGCAGTGAATCTGTAAGTCTTGCAATTAAACATTAAACTCTCCTGAAATAATAACATGCCTAAAATCCAACCAAATTCTCTTGTGGATCTGAACCCCCACACATTACTATTAAATCCTTTGTGAGGCAGCTGTTATCATGAAATCCAGGTACCATGGAGGGATGATCACAGTAATGAAGATCTATACAAAAACCAAACAAATCCTCTCTCCTCATGCAGTCTTTGGCGTAGTACATCCTGCATCTGGACTTCTCTATGTTGTGCTTCTTCAAGGAATACTTTTAACAGATAATCCTGACAGCATGATCTAAGAAGAAATATGTCTGTTTTTGATTGCTTTGGGCCTGCCATGGAAAAAAACTTTCTGTTAGCTCTCCTGAGTCTGTATTAACTATAGCACACAGAACGTCTCCAGCTTCTGAGGTGGCTGTTAAAAAGACAGGTTGTTTTTGTGACAGCCAGCTGCTGTGACAATATTCTGTGTAAGTATTCCTCACTGGCTGAGGATTTACTGTGACTGTCTTCTGTTTAATGCGCTGTGTCCCACATTTTTTACTGGGGCCTCCACATGAAAGCAGTGAGCGCTGTGCTTACTGAGTGAGTCGAGAGGCTTCTGGAACATTGCAGATCTCTCTGCTGATGGCCTTTTGGAGATGTGAGCCAGCCTGCTCCCGGAGAGCCTTGGGCCTGAGGGCACAGCTTTTTGCAGCACAGCGTTTTCCTGGATCCTGCCGGAGTGCTGGGCTGGGTCCTACGGCTGAAAGCAATAAGGAGTGCCCTGTACCAACGACACCACATTATCCAAATCTCAATTAAAAACAACTACATGCTAACATATTCAATCTTTACCTGGTCGAGCCTTGTCAGACGTGGAAGCTGAGCTATATTTAACCATCCGGTGCCACAGCTGTCACTGCAATCATTACGTAGCTTTATTACAACCCATTCTAGTCGGCACTACCTGAGCACAGCACATCAATGCTTTGCTGGATGCTGTGACACAGAGGCAAAATGCTCTGCGCGTCCTTTGGACTTCGTGCTCCCCTCTTAATGTTTTAATCCCCGAGGCCAGTACTACGTGTGGGGTGTGGGCTGAAAGCAGCTGTGACCCACGGGATTGCCGTCATTTTCCATCTACCGGTTGGGCTGATGGGGAGCACGCCGGCAGACGGCGGTGAGGTGGGCAGGAAGGCTGCGCCAACGCCGCTGAGCGCGCTGAGGCCCCGCGGTCGGTCTCACCCTGTCAGGACCTTTCCCGCCCAGGCGCAGCCCGCGGCGCTCGGCAGAAACCCGCCCGTACTTCGGGCTCCCGCCGCCAGGAGGCGCGGCGCTCCCACCGAAGCACCGGGAGGGCGCGTTCCAGCGCGGTGCTGCCTGAGCGGAACCTTCCCCTTCGCGCTCTTCACGAGAATCCCAAGTCAAAACGATCCGAAACGGCAGGATCGGGTCGCTGTGCCCCGCCGCCGCTGAGCGCAAAGGCGAGCACGAGCCCCCGGCTTGTTTCCCCCTCCACGTCAACACATCTGTTCCACAGGGCGTAACTGCTCCGCTTTTCCATTAGCTTCTGCCGCTCGGAGCTTTAGATCGACTTTAGGTTTCGCCTTTATTCGCGCGATAAGAGTTATTCGTTTAACGGGGACGCCCGCTGCTCCGGGCTCTGTCAGCGGGCGGACCGCGGGGCCGGGCGAGGAGCGGGAAGCACCGAGACCCGCCCGGCAGCCCGCACCGCGCGGCAGCCACTCCCAGCCCGGGGCCGGACGGCGCCCAGCGCGCTGCCGCCACACGGCTCAGCCGCCGCGCAGGCGCGGCCCTCGACGCAGGCGCGGAGTGCGGAGGGGCGGCCCCTGGCGCCCGCCGGGCCGCGCTGGCGGCTGTCCCCGCCCGCCCCCGCCTCCGGCTCCGCCCGGGCGCTGGGAGCGGCGGCAACTTCCCCTCAAGTCCGGCCGGCGGCGGCGGCGGGCGCTATGCGGCCCGGCTGAGCGCGGCCCGAGAGGGGCGGGCAGGGCGAGCGCCGGCAGCCGCCGCGTCCGGAGCCGGAGCCGCCCCGCAGCCGCCCTCCCCCGGGCGGGGCGGGCCCCGCCGCGGCCGTCCCATGTCCCGCAAGGCCGGCGACAATGTGGAGTACACGCTGCGGAGCCTGAGCAACCTGATGGGCGAGAAGCGGCGGCGGCAGGCGGAGGGGGCCGCCGGCTCGGGCGCGGCGGCGGCGGGCGAGCGCAGCCTGATCGCCGCCGAGTCGTGCTCCAGCCTGAACAGCGCGGCGTCGGGCGCGGAGCTGGAGCGGGCGGCGCGGCGGCAGTTCCAGCGGGACGAGACGCCCGGCTTCGTCTACGTGGTGTCCGTGTTCTCCGCCCTCGGGGGCTTCCTCTTCGGCTACGACACCGGCGTGGTGTCGGGGGCCCTGCTGCTCCTCAAGCGGGAGCTGAACCTGGACGCGCTCTGGCAGGAGCTGCTGGTCTCCGGCACGGTGGGCGCCGCCGCGCTGTCCGCCCTGGCCGGCGGCGTCCTCAACGGGCTGTGCGGCCGCCGGCCCTGCATCCTGCTGGCCAGCGGCCTCTTCACGGCCGGGGCCGGCGTGCTGGCGGCCGCCCGCGACAAGGAGACGCTGCTGGGGGGCCGCGTGGTGGTGGGACTGGGCATCGGTGAGTGCCGGCCGGGCCCCTCCGTCCCTGCGTCCTCCGGGTCCCCCCGCGCCGGGAGCCGGGTCCGAGCCGCTCTGCCCGCGCCGCGTTTATGTAACGCGGCGTCGGAACCCGAAACGCGGCTCTTTGTGCCCCTTTTTATCTCCCTGTTTGGGAAGGGAGGGTGTTCGGGGTTGTCCTCTTTCCTTCTGCTCGCTGTGGGGCGGAGAGCCGCCCGGTGCTGCAGGGCTGCTGCCGTCCTGCACGCGGACCTCTGAGGGGTCTCTGCCCGCAGCTCACCTCTAAGCCTTCACGTGGTGCGGTTGGGGTGCCAGAAGTGAGCAGATGATGCCTGCCTTTCTCAACTGTGAGCTGCTCTTCTGATCGCCCACACGGCTCTGGTTCCATTGGGCGCTAAAGGGGTGCCGTGGGGAGCCGGGCTGTAATCGTGAGGCAGAGATGTTTGCTCTGGAAGGCTTCGGGTTTTATTTATGGCATCCGGCAGAACAGGACGTGCTCTGGGGCTGCCTACCTGTCTGTGTCGCATAGCTTGTGAGCAGATTTGCCTGGTAAAACTTTCTCTTACTTGTCCCAGAGAAGGTGAAGCGATGAAGAATGTTTCTTCCTACTTTAAGGCTCTTTTCCGTGCCAAGTAAATCCTAAATGTCCCCAGGATTTGGGCTGTGCTTCAGCTGATACCCTGTCAGGAGTTTGTAATTTGAGTTGCATTCATCATCCACGGTAGGCACTGTGAGGTTATTTGGAACGTAGTCTTACAGAAAGAGAGAAGTAACTCTTGCTGTGATCTCACAACACTTGCTATCTGAAAGCATGAGGATAACTGAAGGATTAGAGTTGTTTTCTTTGCAAAACTGCATTCTGTGTCCTAACCATTGAATATGTTTTTCAATTTTTGCCCATGCTTGGTGGGGTGCAATTTGATCTTATTAAAGAAAAAAGTTAGTGAGTCATAGTGAGGGCTGTTGGAAATAAAATCAGCTCCATCCCTGAAAGGATCTGTATTGGCTTCCCTGTGCAGCAGGCACATCTCCTGCAGCTGGCAGTCTTCCTACCCAGAGTTGGGTGCTGAGCTTTTATTTATTTCTTTAAATGCTGATGCCCTGTGCCTTTTTAAATCAAACTTCAGACTGCAAAATGTTGATAAGCTTTGTTGTTATTTTCAGGAGACAAAACAATTTTGATATAAAAGGGCAGGATGGGTATTTTGATGGCATTATGTAGCACAAATGATAATGGTACCTACTGAAAATGTGAAATGTGACCCCCTTCTGCATTTGTGAAGCTTCTCATGTGGTTTGTTGGACGTAACTGGTTGCAGTAATCTTGTCTTGGGGTGGGGGAGATAGAGAGGAAAGAGGAAGGCTGGTGTGACTTTGTGTATCTGTGTATGAGATGCACAGGCTTCTTAGTGTTGTCTTATGGCGTTAACACTGGCATCTTCTGAGAGATGTGAGACTTGGTGGTTAATGTACATAGTATCAACATGGAAACTGGGAGCTGAGGAGCTGCTGTTTTGTGGAGCTGCCAGTCTCAGTATGGTTTGGGGAGAGACTTTTGTCCTCTTCCCACATCACAGAGGAAGGTGATCGTTCTGCTGTGACCTGGGAAGCTGAAGGAAGGACTGCGAAGCACCCTGAGAATTTTGGATTACGAAGACATTAATGTTAAAAATAAAATATATAATAAAAGTAGCTGTTTTCTCCTCTTTATCAGAGATCGCTTTTCTTTATGTGTGAAAGAGGTTCTGGCCAGAAACCAAGCATTGCTTTAGATTGCCATGACTGAAGCACTGCGAGAGTCCAATCCTAATGAGGTTTATTTTACGAAAGAGAAAAATGGGGTTGAAAAGTGTTTGTGTCCAGCAGTCTGTCGTTAAGTGCCACATGGAGCACTCCACCAGAGGGAGCCGGGATGATGTCATGAAGGAATTAGAAATCGAAAGAACTTTTAAGTTTTTTCTCTCTTCTCTCAGAGCCCTTTGGCTGCCAGCAGTGAATGCGACCTTCCTTGCCCTGGGTTAAAGGCACTGCTCAGTGCAGCATCACCCCAGATACGGTGCCAGCTGCTGAAATGCACAGATAGAGTGGTGTAGTCTTGGGAAATGCTTTCCTATGTGCAATAACAGCTTTTTAGTTGTGTATGACTTTGTACCTTATTGAAGACTTTCTTGCAGTGATCTGTTGATTGCACAGCATGAATTATGCTCTGTAGATGTGTATTTGCTTGTATTTAGTAAATGAGCGACTGTGTTACAGACAGTGCAGTAAAAACAGATGGTGGCTGCCTGTGTGGCTTCAGTCAGTGTGGATCTGTGCTAATTGTGACCGTGGGAGAAAATGGGCGTTCTTCTTGTGACTCTGATTTAGAAAGGACTGCGGTTAAACTTTCAGGATGAAAACCACGGGATGTATGCTGAAATGAGGAACATCTCTTACTTGCCCTCTTCTCCATTTAGCAGCATTTTCCACAGAGCTGCTCAGTGATAGAACTCTCCTTTTCTGTCCAGCGATTACAGATGGAGATGTTTCTGGAATGTAGACTTTCTCTCAAGGACAAACCAAAGTCCTCATGTGTTGCCAGTGTTGAGTAGTTTTTTATGATTGGGAAGTCACGTTTTCCCCTCCTGCACCCCTCATTATAAATGAAGAATATGGAATGCAAGAAATGAAAACCCTGGTTAGCACAATGAGCTAGCTAATATGCTTGCTTTCAGGTCTGAATTTTTAAATGTGAAGTTGAAAGGATACAGTGGGTGAATGTCCACCCCAGACTGAAGCTCTTCAGAAAACTTCAGGTAAAGCAGATTAAGGACAAAGCTGTAGCCATCGTTCCCTCCTGCACTCCCTTTCCTGAGCAGCTCTGATGCCCATGACTCTTTAAGAGTTTGGCTGAGCTTGCCATCAGAAATGCAACATTTGGATGGATGTTCCTCGAAAAAATGTGGGTGACATTGAGATGCTTAGAGAACTGGATCACGTGTGTTCAGCAGCTCTTTGTATGAGCCCAGTTAGGAAGAAATGCATTGATATGGAGCATACTTCTGTGTCTGGTAATGTTAAGTTAATGTGACACACGTGGGTGATGGTGTGGTGTTTTAGGTGGTGTGCTGCTCACATCAGTACTTCAAAAAAAAACCTGAGGTGCTGGCTGTGGAAGAAGAGCTGCTGAAGCTACCCAGAGTTTGGTTGCTATCATGTACATCATTAGTTGCATGATTAGATTTCCCTGCCTTGTTCAGCATGCAAAATAGATGGTATGCAATTAATGATCAGCTCTTCATTGAGTAAGAGGGTTTGTTTTTTTTTTCTTTTTATCAGTAGTTGTTGCTTAATGCTCACCACCCAGCCCTTAGCAGAAGGGGGACACATGGTCTGCTCCCAGCTCTGCAGTGCAGTGCGGCCAACCTGGGCAGGTGCCGTGTCTTCTATCTGACCTCTGTCACTGCTGGTGCATGGCAGTGTGAGCCTCCTGCTCAGCGCTTGCTTTCCATTCAGAATGCTTAGCTGTCTTTTCCACGTGCTGTATTTGAATGCGGCATATGCAATGTTCCTGGCAGCATCTTGCTATTGCATATGTAGGTCACTTTCTGAGTAGAGGTAATAAGGCTGAATGCAGAAGTAGGCAGGAGTGAAAATGGCTGGCATATGGTGCAGGGCTCCCCCGTTGGGACTGGTTCCTGCAGCAAATAAAAATAACCAAATATTACCAAGTGCTCACATCATGGAGTACCAGCTCTGTGTTATCTTCACAGTGGTCAAAAAAGGTCCACCTGGACTACCACGTATGCTGTGAAAGTATTGCAAAATAACCACTGTGATCAAGATGAGGCTGTGCTTTTTTTTCCCCCTATTACTATTATTTTTAACTTTGTAAGTATGCTACAGAGCTTTTTTTTTTTTTTCAGTTGGTGTGTATTTTGTCTTGGAAAATTACAGAATGATCTCCTCTTCTTCCCTTCTCCTGTGCTGTGGGAAGCCTGCAGCCTCCAGTCTGTTTTCATAAATGGGCACCAACCACAGTTTTAAAGGTGCTTATACTTTAGAATATTTTGGAGGGGAAAATCACCCTCATCCCCCAGATACGTTGTGTTGCTTTGGCAGATGCCTGTAATTTTCAATCCGTAATTCACAGTCTGTTCTTATACAGATTTCAGTGGTTTGTAAGTATAAGCTTGCCTTGGGGATGGAAGAGAATGGGCAGACAAACAGCCACGTGGCTGGAATGGGCTCCATGTGGCCACTGACCAGAGCTGCTCTGCAGAGCATCTACAGCTGCCAGAACTACTGTGTGCTCTGGAGTTGGCTCTGTGCCTCATAAATGCTTGATCTGTTGGCTCTTGAGCAGGAGCATCTGCTTCGTTCCTGGAAAGAAACTTCAATTGCTGACTGTTTCTGTGATTTTGCAGGATACTGGGGGTATGTTAAGGTGAACAACTGTTTTCTGAAGCCCTCTCTTTTTGAGCGCATTGGAGACTTTTTGGTTTCCTATGTGCTGGTCACTGTTGTGTCAGTGAGCACTGCTCCATTATTGCTTTATCTGATGCTGTGCTGGTGATGGTGCAGTACCCAAAGATCAGCGTATTGCTGCCTTTGGCACATATTTGGGGAGCCATTCATAATAATGTGTTATGCATTCTGAGTTAGAGCTAAGAGAATTTTTGGGCTTCTGATTCTTCTGGAAGTTGTTTAAAGTCATGAGGGTGTTTCATCTGTGTCTGCATGGCTTTTTGTGTGTGTGTGTTGATTTCTGTTTTCCCTTTTCTGGGGGGGGCTTTGTGTTATTATTCTGTCTAACCTAAAAGAAAGTCCTGTACTTCGTAAACCTTGAAACTGAAACATGGGAATCCTTTGAAGTATCTTTCCTTGCAGTTAATGATACTGCTGTGGTTTTATCAAGGCAGATTTCCTGTTGTATTTTAAGTATCTATCATTTATATTGAAACAGTACAATGCATACAGTTACTATGTTACATAAATTGGAAATTTCATGATTCTCTTACC